TACCCCGTAGCCCGATTACGTATCGTTCGGTTACAACCTAAAGATTAAAATAATTCTATTGGCTCTCGCCATTTTATTCCAAAGCCAATACACGTGAGTTTACTCAGTTGCCAGACTCTTAAGGCCGTAGCACATAGAAAAACTTAAGCAGTAAGGCTGGTTTCACATGGGGCGTAAGATGCGTATGCGTAACTTGCGTCAGCCAATCAAATTGTCTCAGTATTTAATCGTATCACACACGTATAGTAGCTGAGACAATTTGATTGGCTGACGCAAGTTACGCATGCGCATCTTACGCCCCATGTGAAACCAGCCTAAAACTCAAGCAGTATGCAAATCAGCCAATCACAGCCAAGAACTTAAGACACGGCCCTAAGGGTTGGTTTATAATAGCCGTAACCGTTGATTTAAGCCGTAATCTTTAAGAAATTGACCAATCACAGTCGATTATTCTTCTCACATTCGACTGCGATTGGTCAATTTCTTAAAGATGACGGCTTAAATCAACGGTTACGGCTATTATAAATCATCCCTAAGCGGTAGCGAATCCATTCTGTTGACTTCTTAAAACGAAGCTTTGTCGAACGTTCCGATTGGCCGTTAAGGTTATGTTAGTATGCACGGACAACAGTCGATTAAGCCATAAGTTTTCGACCAATTGCGTTGCTCGATTCGGCCAGTTACGATTACGGACGGCTGAATCGAGCAACGCGATAGATCAAAACCTCACTGTTAAGGCCATTGCACGTAACAAAGTTTTAGTTGTAATCGTAAGGCCGTAAGGAAATAGACCAATCACAGTCAATTATTTTCCTCGCGCTTGAAGAATAATCGAGTGTGATTGGTCTATTTTCTTACGGCCTTACGATTAAAACTAAAACTTTGTTACGTGCAATGGCTTTTACTGTTACGGAAAAGTATGGAGCCCAAATCAGACTAGCGGCTCGCGGCCGCGACTGCGATTGCGATTTCGTTTCTTGACCAATGAGAAATGCCCGAATTGCCAGGAGCTTCTTTCTCATTCATCAAGGGACGAAATTGCAATCGCAATCGCAGTCGCTGAGTTCGTACGCCCGATACGCGCGTATCGCGATACGCGCCATGGGACGTCACCCTAAAGCATCGTCTACAATGACCGTAGCAGTAAGGTTGTAAGGCTGTAATATTTAGTCGTAGGTCACAAAGATTTTAGTCTTGAAACCATACTGTCTACAATGGCAGTAAGACATAACCATAAGATGGACCAATGGAGAAAGAGAATATGGAGTCTGCCACAAAAGTGTGCTTACAGGATCTGTTTGATGTTTCTGCCAGAAGCAGCAAGTTTTGTGTTATCTTTATTTTTTGCTGTGCATTCTATACACACAGAAGCAGTATGTAACAAGAATAGAGACTTTTTAATTATTATCACAAATAATTGTCATTGGTAAATACGGCTGCACGTGTCACAGGTGTAGTTGGTAGGGCAGAAACTTTGTCCTCCTTATTTTACCTGACAGCTTTAATCACATGTACTAAATGTTCCAAAAGCAAAAGATTTACAGGGTGTATGAAAATTTTATTGTACAGAAGGTAAAACTCATTCAATGTACTACATTCATTCTGTGGAACGTGTTCTATATGATAAGATTATACTAATGGTTGTAATTTTATTTAGGTTAGGGCGTGGGATATTTTCTTAGCACTAAAGTCAGCTTTTGGTGGCAATAAAATTTAACCTGCATGGTCAGGCGAGTGTACAAAAGGTTTGACTGCTCTCACACTTGTTACAGTTAGCCTGCTTATCCTACGATTACTTATAATGGGCTCAAAGTTACCTATATTTATCAGGTATGATTGTATATGTTAGATTTATATGTAATTTTAATCCACGTATAGTATATAACTATAATGATGATGCGTATACTTTCTAGATTCGACAATCCTGCATTGATTGCAACAACACCAACAAGACAGTGTACATAATCGTTCAAATATGCCTGCGTGCGTGTCAAAAATAGATTTACAGAAATTAAACCTTATAATACATTTTATGTTATATTGGCATCAAAGCATTGTACTTCAAATATTAACGTATCGGATACAAAAAGTCAAAAGCAGACGTTGGTGGGTGAGACCAATCAATAGAAGGAAACGTCAAGGTTTCGTGTCTAACCTATTTCGCGAAATTAAATTAACTGATCACGAAGAATTTTTTATGTACACGCGACTTTGCCCAGAACAGTATAAAATTTTACTGGAGTTAACAACTCCATATCTTACTAAGTACAGCAATCGAAAACCTTTGTCACCTGAAATAAAACTGGTCATAACTTTAACGTAAGTGTTAAATGAAATCAATGATAGTACTACTCTTGTTTTAATTCACTCTTGATAGTTTTTTTCTTTTGCAGATATCTTGCTCAAGGGGATAGCGTTGTAACTAAACATCTAGAATATCGTGTGGGAAGATCAACAGTACACAAAATTTTACCAGAAGTGTGCCATGCTATATGGCTAGCTCTTCAACCTATTGTTTTGCCTATTTTGAATTCTGAGGAATGGAAGAAGAAAAGTGAGGAGTTCTTACTTAAGTGGCAATTTCCAAATTGCATAGGAGCGCTTGACGGTCGTCATATGGAAATACAAGCACCACCATGCTCAGGATCGGAATTCTATAACTATAAAAAATATTTTAGCATAGTTCTTATGGCTTTGTGTGATGCCAATTACAAATTCACTTGGGTTGACATTGGTCAATTTGGTAAATATATCTTTTATTTATATATACATACACAGCTTATATATATATGTGTGTATATTTATATTTATATATATTTATATCTAAAAAAGCTATTATATGTATGATGTCCTGCTTAACAAAAAATATAATTCCTTTTAGGATCCATAAGTGATGGTGGTGTATGGAGCAAGACAAACTTTGCTGCTGATTTAGAAAACAATGCAGCAGACTTACCAGAACCTACACCTTTACCAGGAAGAGATATTCCATTTCCTTATATTATAGTTGCTGACGAAGCATTTCCTTTGAAACCATACCTAATGCGTCCTTTTCCAAAAAAGGTAAACAGGTTAACGAATGAAGAGCGAATATTTAATTACCGATTAAGTCGAGCACGATTGTGTATAGAGAACTCTTTTGGTATTCTTACTTCTCGTTGGAGGATTCTACATAGAAGAATTAGTTGCTCAGTACAAAATGCAGAAAAGATTTGTAAAGCACTTGTATGCTTGCACAATTTTGCTATGAGTGGTAATAACAGTGACCAATATTCTTGGTCTGAATGGCTTCATTCAGAGGATCATGAGGAAAGACGTCTTGAAGATCGATGGCATAATATAGGAACTGAACAATATTTCAAACAGTTATCAAGAGTAGGACCTAACAGAGCTGGATCTTATTCTTTGGGCTTACGTAATTATTTAAAAGAGTACTTTATATCACGTACTGGCCATACTCAAGCACCATGGCAATTTCAAAGAGCATTTAGAGGTCTGAATATCAACCCACCTGTTTAACATACTATTGTCGTATACTTACTATTTTTCATTTACTGACATACGATATTATAATAAACGCTGTAACACTGGTGTACGTAGTGTTTATGTAACCTCTTATGTCAGTATATAGTTAAAACTATGAATGTTATACAAAATAATCAGCTAAAAATTAATAATTTTACACAGTCGTATTATTACTTAATAATGTTCTTATTTCTAAAAGTATTAAAAGTTACACTTGCAAGTATAATTTTCTATGTATAAGATAGAACGAAGTTTTTTGTTAATACTTATTAAGAATATGTTTTTTATATGTTATTGGATATGTTACAAAAACTTATTTCAAACGGCAAAATAAGGTTATTTTATTTTGATAAAAATACTTTATAATTATAAAGTACAAAGACTTAAAAGAACATTGCATATACATATAATGTTACCCATAATTTATAGCAATTATTACGAGATACATTTAAAAAAACTGTAATTTTTTGTAGCTTTAAAAATAAAATGAATACTTATGTATATATTATAATGTCTTTGAATAATAAAATAATATCTTTAAAAATAATGCGCAACAAAAATTATTGATTTTGTTTCTTTCCTTTAGTTTTAAATATTTAGCGTAAAATAAAAGTTTTTATTTGAACAGTTAATAATTATTATAGTTAATACAAGTAATTTAAATCCTTATAATGTAAGTTAAACACAATTGTGTATAGTTGTGAAAATTGATAAGATTTTTGGTTTTTTTCTCGTTAAAGGATTTTACATAAAAAAGTGGCTAAAGAATTGCCAAAAATAGGACCTAATAAAGCTAGATCTTTTTCTTTAGACTTATGGAATTATTTGAAAGAGTATATTCTTGTATCATCTACTGGCCATGTTCAAGCAGCCATTCCAAAAAGCCTTCAGAGATTTTAATATCAACATTTTGTTGTATATTATTTAGAAAAAATGAGCAATACAATGGCTTTTTGTTATAAAAAATATTTTTGTTAATAAAAAATATTTTGCATAAAATAAAAATCTTTATATAGACATTTAATAATTATTGTAGTTTATAAAAGTAACTTGAATATTTATATGTTAACTTTGAAAATAATGTGCAACAAAAATAAATGACTGTTAATAATTTTCTTTTAATGTAATTTTCTTTAAAAGTAATGTGCAACAAAAATTAATGATTTTGTTGTAAATCAATTATTTTAAATAAAGAAATATTTTACGTAAAATAAAAGTTTTTGAGAATTCTTTATCCATCTTGCGTTGTTGCATCACCCTCAGTATGTTGTTTTAATAATTGTATGATGGTAATTAGAAAATCCAATTGTTTTGACTCAGAAAGTTTTTGCAAAGAAAATGCTATGACACTCAACATAGCTCTTATATCAGGTCGAAGTGAATTTAAAGAGTCTGTAACTTGAGGTTCAGATGGTGTAGTATGAACTGAAATTGCACTCTCTACTTTTTGTGCCAAAGCAGTTAAAGATTGTGATTGTTTACTTATTGATTGATTGAATTTATCCATATCCTGCTTTTTTCGTTTGGCAAAGGAATCTAACTCTGGAACACGCTTTTCACGAGTAATAGCTTGTATTTTTTTTAAGGAAGCTATTCTACTACTATCAGAGACTGCAAACGAAGAACGTCCAACAGATTGGGATGAGCTTTGAGGTATTTGCAAAGCTGCTAAAGACTCATTGTCAGGCATATTTAAAGAGTCTGCAAACGAAGAACGTCCAACAGATTGCGGTGAGCTTTGAGATGTTTGCAAAGCTGATAAAGACTCATTGTCAGACATATTTGAATATTCGGGAACATCATCTGAAATATTAAATAAGACTTGTGTAAAGAACAAAAAAAATGCCAAAGTCCTTAATTAGATTTTTTTCAAAAAATAAAAATTACAAAATTTTGAAAACATTTACCAGGTGAATTAATACTCAATTCTTCATTCCACAAGCTTGATGAAGAATTTGATTTAGAAGCTAAATTTAGAGATGTAGGCAAGTTCACCTGTTGTATTGCTTGAGACTTTGGCACTTGTATTGCTTGAGACTTTGGATGTATCCTTTTATAATTAGTAGTAGTTCTAAATATAAAAAAAATTACAAAAGATTAGTGTATTTTTATAAAATGTAGAGTAATACGAAAAGAAAGAAATTATAAGGATTTAATTCTGATAAAATAAATCGTAAGTATCGTATGTAATAAGGCATATTAACTTTCGATGTTTTATCACATCTGCCAGAAACATCAAGTCATTGTAAAGAATCCATTTAGATGAATATGTTGGCTGGCTAGTTCCAGCACCTGATCGAGGCTGAGATTGAATAACTTTTTTTCTTTCTCTTCCGAACCGTTGTCGCAATTGAAAAAATCTATGCTCAGCCTCAGGACCTATTTACATACATAACCTCATTTAACATTTAACATTAATAATTTATTAAGTCATTGATTAATTATTTTGCAAGTAGTTTATTTTAATACCTGTTTTTTTGTTCGTCAAGTTATTACCAATAGCATCCCAAGCTGAGTTCTTCACTTCATTATTACTATAAAGTTTTTCCGATTTATTATACAAAAAAGAATTGGCTTTAACCCATGTAATGAGTTCTCTATCATCCTGTTCATCTTCATATTGTTCAGAATCTTCAAATTGTTCGTCTTCTGACATCGCTAATAGATAGAAAATAACCTTCTTCTCTAGCACTAGTAGCACCGAAAAATAAGTACATACAATGTGATTCGAATAGAACCGCCAGTACTTAATAAATTTTATTTATTGGATGTACAAAATCGTAGTATAGGCGAATGAGACGCTTCTAATTTTATATATTTCACTCTGATTGGTTCAACGTAGGATGTAGAACGCAAGAAATGAAAATTTTTCATTTCACTATCCTAACCTTATTACGATATTTACAACCTACTTTATTAAAAATAAATTCTTATAATTGCGTCTTAAGTCTTACAAATCTACTGTTACGTCTGTATAAAATAAATCCTCTTACTTACAACCTTGTTTACAACCCACTTTCATGGAAATATAACCTAATGATTACGTCTTACAACCTGTTACAACCTTTACGCCTTACTGTTACGGCCATTGTAGACGAGGCTTAAGACTGGTTTCACATGGAACGTAAAATACATATGCGTAACTTGCGTTGTAACCGAACGGTACGTAATCGGGTTACGGGGTACGCGATTTTGTCCTCTAAGTCATCGGTCGCCACTCGGATTAACCTTAAACTACCGAGAAGGTAGGTATTCGTAATGCAAACGGACCAAAAGTTGAACAATTTGTTTAAACAATTTTATTTTTTTTATCCCGCTACGGGTGCCTCGTCAGCATCGCCTGTGCTCTGGATACCGCTAGGTATGACCTCGATCGGCCAGCCAGGGATACCGGTAGTCCGGACAGCCGCTTGATCAGGTATGTATATACGTATATCTCCTTAACCCTTTCACTCTTTAGATTCCCGCCACGGGTGCCTCCTCTGTGCTGCTCTGCCTACTGCCTCCGCTATCTATCATTCGCCTGCCTCATCCGTGGAACCAAGATGGACGGACAACCGCTTGATCGGGTAAGTCCCAACATTAAGGTAAGTCAACGCAACTAATTCTCTTTTATTTTCAGGTTTCGTCTACGGGTGCCTCATCACCATCGCCGATGTCATGGATCACCGCTGCTCACCAAAGTCCAGGATCACCGCGTCTGGTAGCTGGCCGGACAACTAGGTAAGTATGAGAACTGTCCGCGTAACTACGATTAATGTTGTTTCTTTTCAGGTTTCCGCCACGGGTGCCTCATCTATGGCCTCCTCTGATGCAGGATCGATGATGACCTTGAAGCTCGGTCAACTACGGCTAACACCAAGATGGCCGGACAGCCGCTTGTTCAGGTAAGTTGAAGGTAAGTAACTGATATTTTTGTATATATTTTTGCAAATAATTATTGCTTTTATTGTTAACTATCGTTTCACAATGATGGTGGTTCACAACTACTGATGCCGCGCAATATGGCGGTCGCACGTCTCGCAAAGTGCGATTTCACGATTCAGGTACGCGAAAACCCGTACGCCTTTCGTATCGGCGTCATGTAACGCTATGTGCGGGCGTTCCCGTTTGTTTCGGACACTGTGGCAGGCTTACAAATCGTAATCCGGTACGCGTTTGCGATATTAACTACGATACGCCGGGATATACGCGCGAGAAGATAGCTACCATTCGAGCGCCCACGAGAGACTGCCTCGATTAATATTCCTCTCTCGGGCTCCCTACCTCCGAAGTTTTATCCCCACCATGGGGTCTCGGCCGCTTTCGCCTCGCGGTAATTTTCCATTACGCTGTTATCTACGCTGTTACAATAGCTGTTTACGAGTTTCGGCTCGCCAAGTGTGCGCCAGATGTTTACGATGGAAATTTCCGCCGCCAGTACACTATTTACGACGCGCTTAATCGGCTCCCGGATAGTGGTTTTTCAACTCTTTGAAAATTAGACTTTTGAGGGCGCCGACCCGTGCGCACGGCCTTTCCTACGTCCCTAATGCCGATTTCGGGTCGACTTCCTGGAGACGACGTCCAGGTCGCTTTCTAGGTGTCCGCCAATGGCGGCGACCCTGGTGCCTATTCCCCCAGTCCCTACTAACCGTATTCCGGCCCGACTTCCTGTAGCCGATGTCTAGGATCACCGGTTTCCCGGACTGTCCGGACAACCCTCCGTTCGGATGGTCGGATCTCGACCGCGATTCGTTCCTCGGGTGTACTAGGTATCCCCGAGGACGCACCTTGAGCCTTTTTCCGCTACGACACCCGGTTCGGAAATTTGCAGATTGTCCAGCGAACTGCATGCCCGGGTGATTGGATCTCGCTCGCGATCGATTCCCGGGGTCTGTTTGACTTCCCTTAGTACGCACCTTCGGTCCTTTTCCGTTCCGACGCTCGGTTCGCAATTTCGCAGATTGTTCGGCGACCTGTATGTTCGGTTGCTCGGATTTCGCTCGCGATTGATTTCGGGGGTCAGTTGGGCTTCCCTCTGGCTGCACCTCCCGCCGTTTGGCGCTGCGGCGTCCCTTTCGCATTTCCGCGAGTTGTCCGGCAAACCCTATATCTGCGTGTTCGGATCGCGCTCGCGATTAGTTCCAGGGGTCGGTTGGGCCTCCCTCTGGATGCACCTTCTGCCGTTTGGCGTTATGGCGTCCCGTTCGCGTTTCCGCGGGTTGCCCGGTAAACCCTATGTCCGCGTGTTCGGATCGCGCTGGTTTTTCGTAGGCCCCCTTTTGGGGACCCCAGGAGTCGGCACCTTGACTCCTACTCGCGTAGCACGCGCGGTACGTGCATTAAGTGCCCGCGCTCTGAAGATCGTGTGTGACTCGACCATCTAACTTACCGGTGCGTTACCGCTCCACGCACCTGTTAAAAACAAATTGAACTCTTTCGCTCCTGGTCGGGTTGGCATCGTCGTGCCAAAGAGCAGCTAGAATTGTGGAGTGGAAAGGAACGTCTTATTAACTATACGAGCCGCTGCTCGGCGACCGCTGTCGCATGTCTTAACATTAATGGCGCCGGACGGGTAAAATCGATGACTCTAAGAAATAAATCGGAGAGAAAAGAACTACAGCATGACCTGAAAATCAAGTAAACGAAAATAACTTGTGTCCCGCTTCCGTCCTCGGAACGCTTGTGCAACATAGGCTTAATCGGGGATGTCCCTTTCGTCCCCGGAGGTCTCCTCTCCGATGGATGGGCTCCGGAACTTGCCGCTGGGCTCCTCCTGCTGGTCTGGCGCCGTTCCGCGCGGCACCGCCGTCAACATCAATGGCGGTTGATTGACCCGGCTCGTGCGGTTGCAGCGTCAACCAATCAAATCGTCTCAGTTACTATACGCGTATGATACGATTAAATACTGAGACGATTTGATTGGCTGACGCAAGTTACGCCCCATGTGAAACCAGCCTAAGGGTGCGGTCACATGGACTGATATTTTTCGCGTAACGCGTAACCGCGTAACTAATCAGAAGCGAATATGCGTAACCGAAAATGCAAAACGCTTCTAATTGGTTACGCGGTTACGCGTAACGCAGAAAATACATGCCATGTGACTTCAACCTAAGGCTGGAGTCCCATGGCAGGTATTTTCCGCGTAAAGGTTAATCCAGACAAACTTGCATAGCGCATAAACATAAGCATAAGAGAATTGATTGGTCCATATGCATGTGCATAAGGAAATAGACCAATCCGTTTCTTTATGCATATGGTTATGCACCTATGCAAGTTTGTCTGGATAGACCTTAACCGTGTAAGCAATAAGAAGCGTGCATATGCGTAAAGGCTGATTTATAGAGGCCGTAACCGTTAATTTTTGCCGGAATCGATAAAGTTCAACATTGCGATTTCAATGTTTTAGTTTATACTGAGTTTCAGTAACTGGTAATTTATGCCATAAATATAATATAATTCACTTTTATTCTGATTTATAGAGGTCGTAACTGTTAACGTGTGCCGGAAAAGATAAAATTTAACACTGAATTTTGATATTTTTACATTAAAGTCTTGAAAACTTGTGATTTATGCCATAACTGGAAAGTTAATTCAATTTCAACTTTCATTGAATACGACAAACGCTCAGACACGTATCGTGGGATGACGTGTGATTCCGTGCTATGTGAGCGACAATCGGAAGGGTCAGTAGAAACAGTGCTGCTCACTTTTCGCATTTTTAATCAAGAAATTACAATCATTCTTCAGGAATATACAATCGATCCCTTGTTAAAGGATCAATATAAAAACAGGCAAGCTAGCAAACGAGCAAGCGCAACGTATCATAGGTATGACAGGATTCATAACCTTCAATCACGCCAACTTTAACGGTTAATTTCTTTTTTTAAGGGGTTAGTACAGTGTGTTTCAAAAAAAAATGAAAAAAAATAAAATGCTCCGTCAGCCGATAGCCAATACAATGTAGATAATGAGCATATTTTTTATTTTTGTTTCAGACGACTGGTTTTTGCGAAATCATGTACACCATCCGAAAGTCATAGGGATGCGCGAAGCGGCTTAACTCGACGAGTTTTATATTTAATTAGGCAACAAAATTTTGACACGTTCTTCAATGTGTATAGAAAATAATAAAAAAAAATTACTGGTGTTTCATAAATATTTTGTTAGAAATTAATTCCTGAAAATTATCCTGAAACACACTGTACTAACCCCTTAAAGCCACGAGCGATACTTTTTTCTTTTCAAACTTTTGTTTTCAGGCGAAATACGTTGGTTGAATATAAATTTCATTAAAATTAGTGAGAAAACCCGTACACCTGCGCTATTATCAAAGTCTATAGTTTACTTCACATATGTATATACAAACAATATTTTATTTTTAGTACTAGTAGTAAATATTGGAACGCAACTAAAATGAAAGAAAATTTTATATAATTACGTTCATCTTTCAGGTGCAAATAAAAAATATGGAGATAATAAATAAAGACATTCAATTAATTACCTTGGTCGAAAGATTTCCACAGTTATATGATAAGAAAAATGTTAACTATAAGGACCGAATAGCTGTGGAGAATGCGTGGCTATTTATAAGCGGAGAATTAAAAATACCTGGCAAGTATAATACACATTATATATATACACATAGTTAATTATATATAGGATTCTGTAAGTAAAAAAATTAGATTTAATAATGATACATATGT